TCTTGAAGTATTTTATGAGCAATACTTGGACATATAATGCTATTGAATTTTTTTATTTGTGTTTAATCATTGTGTTCTTATAGATTCATCATTATCTATAAGAATATTCTTACTGGACAAGATGACCTTATATTTATTATGAAACTGAGGAGTAAATATTCATTGGTATGACGAAGTTGATAATTGTGATATTCTTTATTGTCATTTATTACTTTTCAAAATAATTGTATTGTTTAATATTAAACTCAAATCACTTTATTTAATTTTTTTCAAACAGCTTTATCATATTTCAGGTATTATTATTTATATTCGATTATTTTATCTAGCAAATGATTTTCGATTTCATTCCAATTGGTGCTGTACTTGATGAAACAATTGTTAAGAATCTATTTCTTGTTACACATTAAACCATCCACTTTACCTATTCAACTTACATTTATTGGAGAGTATCTACTAAATTCGTCTACTCATATGTATATATCTTTGAAAATTCAAGTACTTTTATGGATTTCTGACAGCAATGTGTTGTACCACAAGAATTGTTTTTTTTCACGTTTTTGTTCTGTAATTTTATTCGTTCTTTTTCTTTATCTCTGTTATTTGCTCACTCTCGTTTCGTTTGTTATTTCTTTCTAACCAAGAAAAAAAAAAAACGATAGATGAAACATCGTTTCTTTTTGTGTAAAAGAAAAGAATGCTGTAATCCGTAATTACACACAAGGCCATGCATTATTTTTTGTCATATACCTTTCTCTTTTCCTTCTTTTCTCTATATCTATATACAAATATATATTCTCATCGGAGAGTGTTGTTTATGTATTTATTTTTATGTGTATTCTGAATTGCAAATAAACAAAGTCAGAAACATATTACACAGAATAGATAATTTTTTATTAGATTTCAAGTAAATCATAAATTTTATTGCATTAATTATTTCAATAAAAAGCCTCTTATCTCTACTCTAACTAAATGTCTGACGACATATTCTCAAATGTGTTGGACTTCAATAATGCTTATTCGATATTATTCAATGAATTTAACCTATTTATCAAATTATTACGAATAGGAATTAAAAATTTAAATAATATTTATATTTTTAATCGTTTTATTGAATGTATATTTTATCAAATAAATGTATCAAGTATCATAATGAAAATCGAATTCAACATTTTCATATGAATACTGATAATGGTATATTGAGTATATTCCATAAAAATTTTTCAATCTATTTTTAAACAACCACATAATTTCATTTTCTTCCTAAATCTATCATAAAATAAAATGAAAAACTCTTTCATCCGCTTCTATCATATTTCCATCAAATTTTGTAACAAAATAAAATCTTCAATATTCACTTGAAACTTAACCATTGCATCTTTTCTAAATGAAGTCAATAACTAAACAAGTGCTTTCTCCGTAATTAATCATAAGATTAACTTGATTCATTTAAAATTCACATAAAACCAAACGAATAAATCGTTACTGTTTTAATTAGCAACTAATGATCGTAAAATAATCATCGGGGTGTGGGTATGGATGTTGGATGTGGCTCTGGGCATGATTCTTCTCGTCAACTGCATCAGTGCAGCCATACCCACAACTTATTGTTCGCAACAACCAATGTTTAATTTTCATTTTTTATCATCAATAATCGATCTCCATCATATTCATCATGAAATAGTTAAAGTATTATTTAATGATAGAACAATAACATGAGCTCGATTTATAACATGTTTTTGATTTTCAACTAAAGTAGCTGAACATCATTCTATGAGTCTTCACGCTAGTATTTTTGAAGCTAATGATAAGTCTATTAAATATCCTGAAACAAGAATGACTTTTCCCTTGAAGACGCTTGTATGAGCAATCAAGAATGCATGAATCTTGATTCTCTCACTTACTGGGATAATGTGATAAGAGACAAAATATGTGTAGAAATATGTGTAGTTTATCCAAAACTAATTTTATATACTCAATATGACATTTTCATTTATATTTTAGATATGATTACATTTGATGCAATGTATATGAGACGATCATAAATGTGATTATTATATTTTGTTGTCGTTTTGTCACAGTGATTTGACTCATGTACATTTTCATTGTTCAAGGTATACTTAGATTCTGAATTAATTCTTGACTTTCAACTTGATATGATTATGATAAAAGGCTTATATTTTCAGATAAGAATTCATATCATGTAGAATATCAATCAAAATTTTGGATAGGTATACAAACAAGAAGAATCGTGGTTACTTAGAACCAAAAAACTAAATTATGAGCGAGCAGATATGACAGTTGCTTATTGTTTCTTGTAAAAATGAAAATCGATTTATTCCAATGTCGGTTCCTCTCTCATATGTATATGTCGTGCCGCAATTATCACTTCGATACGAACATTGGCCGAATCTATTGTCAGATAACTATAGGGTTAAAAAATCGATACATCGACAATGATATTATGAAAATATATGATCGAAATTAACGTTGCATCGGAAAAATATTTTTCATAATTTGAAACAAATATGATAATAAACAAATACAGAAAAAATAGAGATGCATTGTTAGAAAAACGTTTAGCATGTTTTTTCCAATTTTACTGTCCACTACTTCGATATGAAACCAATTAATTTGTGACATTTCTATATCATAATTGAATACTAATAATTTACTGTTGTTTTTCAAGTTTATGTCTTGTTGACATTTATCGCTGTAAGATTTCACAATTACGAGAGTTTTTTCATTAGATTGTTGGCATATAATGTTCCAGCACAAAGAGAAAATGCTAGAATGAATCATTTTTAGTGTACTCAAAAAGTGAGTACACTACTAAAATCGGTCTGTGTGTCCGTCCGTCCGGCCGGCCGTCCGGCCGTTAACACAATAACTTTCGAAAGGAGAGTCAGATTGCGATGAAATTTTCTACACAGCTTAGTCTTGACAATATCTCGGTCGAGTTCGAAGATGAGAAGGATCCGCCAAGAAATGGCTGAGTTATCGAAAAAATTGTGATTTTTGACCAGACCATCCCTGAGGGGGGGTACGGGGATTTTTCGAAAAAAATTTTTTGCTCATAATTATTCACAAAATATATAAATCGACTCAGTTTTTAACGCTGATTCTGAATCTGATATTAGTTTTGAACTGAATCATACTTTTGTGTACTCAAAAAGTGAGTACACTATAGAATAGTCAGTGTGTCCGTCCGTCCGGTTGGCTGTTTACATGATAACTTTTGACGCCAGAGTCAGATTGCGATGAAACTTTCTACACAGCTTAGTCTTGACAATGTCTCGGTCGAGTTCGAAGATGAGAAGAATCGGCCGAGCCGTTCCTGAGTTATTGTAAAAATACCCATTTTTCCATATATCTTTCTGTGGAAAAATGGACCCATCGCGACTTTCGTAAAAGACTTTTCCTATCATAGTCAGTTAAAACCCCAACTATTATATACCATTCGATAGAGAATTTCAAGAACTACAAAATGATATATAAAACATAAAGAAACAAGAAGGTTGACTTAGCAATGACAAGGATAATTAAAGAGAACTAGGTTATATTTTGGTCCACAATCTAATTGATCCACAAATAGAGCTTTATCTTCCGGTGACACTGATGATACTTCGAGGTTTTCAGATATGGAGAACTCGAATGTGTACTGCACTTCCATCGAAATACTATTAGTTGTGCAGTGACCAATAGAAATGAAGTTATAGGAAAAACGACTTTCTTAGGGTAAATCAAGGGGAAAAGTTCAGACTTGAGCTGTATTCGGTCCCATGTCCTATTGGTTTGGCAACGCGCAATAGAAATCAACATTATAAATGGTAGATTTCACAGTATAATTTTGATATTCAGACAGTCTAGGATGATTGATTTGTATGATTCACTTTTTGAAGTACACATAACTCTCGGATTTAAATCCGAAGTTTCCGCATTTATTAAATTTAAAGATTTCTGTGTTCAAGTGATCTTTGTCGCCTTTTTGAAAATATGATAAACTGTTAGTAATGTGTTGTGTATACCGATGTAGAAATATCTATTTGCGGATAATTCAGGGATCACATTTTATTAACAGGCTTTTATTTTCACATAAATTTATGATTTTCTCAATATAGAAAGTGATACAGCAAAACTATAATTTTTTGAGTACCAATGAAGATGTCGATTAAAAGAGATACTTTTTTTTGAAGAAAAGGACTATATCTCTTGGTTGTACGTTTCATTTGTATAACATATTTTTATAATATCAATGCCAATGAATCAATTTTTGACTTATCGGCTAAGGAACAATCGCTTCGGCAAATGTTCGTATCAAAGACAAAACTTCAACACGAAATATATATATATGTGTGTGTGATATGTTTCAGAACATCAATTATATTGTTCATAGTAACCGTTCTAGTAATCTGTACTCTAAAAAGTCCATAGTTTTCGAGCCATGTGTTGTATGGTATCTGTTCGTGGTTATCCTATCACAAGTTATTCGAAAAACAAATATTGGCATTTGTTTTTAAAATGGATAATAGTTCTACTTTTGAAAATAAAGCGTCGTTCTTGATACATTTCAAATTGAAGAGTTCATCAAAATCACTCGCAGATGTTTAAAGAAAAAAAGTTAATTTTCGCTTTGTTAAATCTGTTGATAGTATCTTCCTATAAGAATTTTCTTGTGAGTGATATTGACTTCATCAATGTATTTTCATGCATTGATAATGATTTCATCTCATTGGCATGACTACTATCAAACCTTGAATTAAATATTGAAATCTGATGTTCTTGTGAGATTTTTCTTCGAAATTTTTTTTCTATGCTGATATTAGTATTGGGTTTTATTTGAACTTTTAGTTAAACTTTTCTCATTTATATCATACTATATGTAGTATTGTCACAATTTTTATATTTAAAATAAGAACATTTTTTTCAAAATAAAATTAAAATTAGTATTATACAAGATAACTGTATGATTATTATTTATTGATAAATACAATTATGTCATTTCACCATGCATTAGTGATCACAGAAATAGGTTTAAGTTTTCCAAGTCTGGTATCATTTTGTTGTTGTGTTACATGCATGAGGTCAGTTCTTTTTTCTATTACTAGTCTATTGGCCGGTGATTGTTTTGAATATAATGTCGGATTAAGATCTCGTTGTAATTCAATATAATCGTGTGTATATTCATTGAATTGATCATAATTAATTCCTTCTATTTCATCTTTTAGTGCTGTACGCAATGATAAACCAGGAATATTATTCATAACCAATAAAATAATTAAAGTAACAACAAAACTCCAAACAAAACCAGCCGCTAAAACAATATTGTACAAAAAATAGATGATACATTGTTTTCTTGCTGAACATAATTTACAAGGAGGACTGAAGTACAAGAATAGAACTTAGGACTTTTTCTCATAATAGTCTTTTATAACCCGTCCGAGTACCCAGACCGGCCGAGACTATAGATTCGAGTGTAAACGTGTCTAATGTGAAAGTATCTGCCGAATGTCCATTAGCTCTAGTTCATAACTGAATACAGCTATCAGGATCCTGTTGCAAAAAGTTGTACCCGTTCAAGACACTACATCACAAACATTTTTTAATATACGATCATCAACCGTATATCAATAACACCTCATTCTCTTTATATGAACTATTTCCTTATTCTATTTCTAGTGGATTTAGTACGTACATGGTGAGAAAATGTGTTCCTAAATTGATAGTAGAAACCAATGTTTGTGTGATTAGCAAAAGTAACTACATCGCGTTTGATATTTTAATTCAGCAGGAATTGTGTTAACAGCTGCTTTTCTATACAAAAGCTTACACGCAAAAGCTAGTTGATAAATAACTTGCATCCAATAACCATCTAACCATCCACCACGAATACTAACTAGATCAAGTTCTGGAATAGATTTTTGTGCAAATATACCTGTTAATATACAGCCAGTAAAACCTCCAATTCCATGTTGTGCAAAAATATCAAAAGCATCATCGATTTGAAAAAGTTTCTTAACCTTTCGTCCAAAATAGACACATATACTACCACAAATACCAAACAAGACAGATACAGGTAAATAAATCCTGATCCAGGTGTACTACAAACAAGTTCAGCCATGGTGCCAAAACAAAATCCGACAAGAGAAAATTTATATTTTGGATGTGAAAGATAATAATCAAGCATAGACCAAGTTATATCCCCAGTACATGCTGCTAGATTGGTTACAATACAAACTATTACTGTGCGGCTACTAATGACTAATCCACTACTCCCCTTAAAACCAAACCAGGTCAATAGCGTACCAATAAATAAATTATTTATATTATGTGGTTTATTTTGTTGCGCATTCGTAAGTGTTTGACGTTTACCAAATACAAGACTATAGGCAAGAGCTGATGTGCCAGCTGATATATGAATTGGTACACCATCAGCATGATCTAATGAACCAAGTACATGAGCCCAACCATTAGGTGACCAAATTCAATATGATATAAAGTTATAGACAAGTGTACACCAAATGAAAGCAAAAGTAATTGTTGGCCACATACGACCACGTTCATATACTACACCAATTACAACTAAAAAAAATGAGCATTTATCTTCGATGTATAAACATGAAAATGTATTATTCTCTTATACTTGTTGTTGCTGTCGCAGCAAACATAAGTTGAAATAAACAAAAAGCAATAGCTGGTATCGTTGTTGTACCAATCGCTGCTTCGTTTAGAATATTTTTCATAGCAATATGAGCCAAGTCACCAATATGAATAGTGATCCTGATCGACTGAAACTCAATGAATAACCAAATAGAAACCACTAAAACGATATTAAATTATATGACTGAAAATAGTAATAATATTTCTTATTATGCAAATCATTCTAATAAGAAAATCTCCCGTATGAGAAACCGTAAATTACTGTAAAAGTGCAGTATTTACGTTACAATAAGCTATGAGCACGAACTATTTTTTGAACATTCAAAATTGATTTAGATTTACATGATACAAGTAGATCAAAATTGTTTGCAACTTGCATATTCAATTCCTCAAAATTATTTTCTTATATTCTGAACTCAAGACATGATGAGAGATTATGAAACTATATACAAACCTGAACTGAAGTAACAGCAACAGACATTAGACTTAACCATAAGAGAGAAAGAGCACTCTTACGATTTGTCATGCCCGAATAATACAGACCGGTACCAGATATCATGATCCAAACAAGCATGGTTGAAATTAACACCCATACTAAATTGGCGGCATCGACTGTAAAAATACAAAGCGAAAAAAAAACAGAAAAAACACATAGTATACTCAGATTAATGTTCAAGTACACCCTTGCACAACAATCTTTCCTCTGTAGGCTCTCAGTTACGATAAGGAATAGAGCTCTAAAAATTTGTGTGCCTATATTCCATCATGAATATAGATCAATGGAATTAATCACAACCAGCTTGATTGGGCAGATACTGAATTATGATATATATTGTCCACTTTTACTGTTGAGCTTCATAACTCTGGAGAGTAAAGGTATTGTTGGGCGACTAGCCGATCATCATATAGTTTTATGTTTCAGCTATGTAGCATATAAATTTCATAAAGATTCGTCAAACTCTTTTAGAATTGTGATTGTTTTACTCTCCAATCATCATCGTGCAAAAAACCATCGATTGTCACTTTCAAGACTCATAAGTCAGTGATAGCTCAATAAATTCATTGCAAACTTTTATAGAAATACTCTTCATATCTTGACATTGTTTTGTGTAAATTTCAGAATAAGATATTACATTACAGCGATACTCATCTTGGTACTGTCGAGAATTAAGAAATACTAATTTTCGAGCAAACAAACTTTTCTTTTGAATTAATAAAGATTATATATTGGGTTCAAATCCCTTGTGAAAATATTCAAAATTAATCTTGTATTTGATAAGAAAACAGATAAACTTTAATAGTCAGTTTATTTAAGGTTATAAATCTTATAGTAGACGAGATCTATATGGCGTCGCTGGTCTACATCTCTAACAAAGTATGCACACAGAAATTTTCAAACTTCTTGTTATTATGTTAACTGAAATCTGAGGGAGGAGAACAGTTTTTGTCCAGAACTGTACAACACTCAATTGTCTGTCAACTCTGCTAGGATTTAATTGAGAAAAAACTTTCAACTGCACATCCAAATCGAAGACTAGTCTCGTCTTGTTCTGCCTGAAACTCTGATTCATATATGGAAAAGATTAACAATAACTTCAATTTAATTTTAAATATTAAATCGTTATCAATTCAAATGTGAGCAATACAATACGCAACTGTGAATAAAATCATCAATAATTTTGCTTCAATAAATCAAGAATTATCTTTATAACAAAAAGTTCTTAAGATGAAAACCTTTGATTATTACGAATAAATTCCTTTCTAATATTAATCATATTTGTTTTCCATTAAGATAATCCAACATGGTCGAAAATTTTCAAGCAGAACTGAAAATTAGTTCAAATCAAAAATCGAAAACTTACCTGTCATTATGAGTCTATTCTTTATAAAATGAGAGTCAAAATGACTATAGACAAAAATAGTCAATCTTTCGATGTTGTAAAAAAAAACTAAAGAATTATTTCACTATTCTTTTATAGATGACATTATTGAAAAAAATAAGTAGCAGAACAGTAGAAAAAAAGATTTCACTTTAATAAAATAAAGTTCAAAAAACATCTTCTTTGTGTCAAAAAAAAAGATTTTTCAAAACATCTCATCATGCATGATTAAAGAAAATTCATTGAATGGTTACTTTTTTTTATAATAAGATTAGATTTAGAATTTTATTATTATTTTTTGTTTCTATTTATTTGCTATTACGTCGTTCATCATAGGTCTCGTTTCTTATTGTATTGTATTCAATAGAAAATTGAATGACTGAATTAACGATTACAAATAGAGAAGAAATCAGTGAAATAAACTAGGTAATGAAAAAAAACATGTTATTTTCAATTCAATGAAAAGTGCATTTCGTATCAATGAATTTATTACTTTATCAAGGTATTAAAAGATTTCGATATCATATTAAAAAATAACAAATTCATTCTTATGCTTCAAGAAAACTTTATAATCTAGAATTTTTTGTCTGATCATTCAGCTGATATTAATTTTCTGAAATAAAGACTATTTTGACCTGTGCTTTAAACACTTTCTATAGTTCTATTGAATATTAGAAAATTCTTCTGTACCAGATCATTACAAGTAAGTTTATGTATGAAAATAATTTTCAAGTAAAAGAGTAGAAACGTTCTTGTTTGTATGTCAACATATAGACATATCGTTTTCAAATTAGTCATAAGTACTAAATGAAATTTTTCTTTGTCTAGTAATCAAGCACTAAAATATTGATTATCTGGGATTTTTTTGGTTGGTACTTTTCTTTCATACATATGAACGAAGGTATTCAACTAATAAATCGCTTTTGAGTCGAGATTATATGAATCCTAATGAGTTAAGAATACCTTGATAAGAGTTCCGACCGTTAGGTTATTGCTATGAAAAGAATTTTTTGTAAGTAAATGTTATGGTCCCCTTCAGGAGGATAACGAAAACTAATTTTTGAATTTTGACTTAAAACTTTTCACCGAGATAGATCTTGATGAGAATAGTTCATTGTGAAAATCTCAAGTCTTTTGATTTAGGCCTTTCTTGAAATAAGAGGATCGAATGTACTACAGATATAAATGATGTCTTAGGATAAGAGCAATGAATAGATCTTAAACTCTGCCAATAAACTATTCTGATTAAGACTTGTCTCTATACAAAATTTAAAGTCCAAATTTAATTTTCTTTGTATTCTTGAGCGAGGCCACAGCATTGACTTAAAAATATCTTCCCAAAAATACATTAAGGATACGAACTCTTTTCAAGGTACTTATTACTCATTAGGATGCACATAGCTTCGACTTAAAAGCGATTCATCAGTCGGAAATAGAATTAAAAATTAGTTTTTGGCCATAGAATAATACACTGAAGTTTCCTCCCGTCGATATTTTTGTTTTGTTTTTTGAAAAACAGTAAGTTTTGAATAGATCTCATGGACAAGATTTCATTTCTACTAATTTGATCTACAAGACTAATCTTTTGAGATTTTTCTATTTGTATTATCATAGCATAAAAATTTCAAAAAATTCTGCTCAGAAAAAGAAAAATATGCAAAGATATTGATATTACGTTTGAAATCATTACCAGTTCTGT